ATCCTGGGGTGGATCAAGAAGAGTGTGGCCAGCAGGACGAGGGAGGTTCTCCTTCCCCTCTACACTGCCCTAGTGAGGCCTCATCTGGAGTACTCTGTCCAGTTCTGGGATCCCCCGTTCAAGAAAGATGGAAGAGCTACTGGCGAGAGTCAAGCGGAAGGCTAACACGGTGGTGCGGGGGCTCCCCTACGAGGAGAGGTTGAGGGAACTGGGCTTGTTCAGCCTGAAGAAGAGAAGGCTGCAAGGGGACCTTATAAATGCTTATAAGTATCTGAAGGGTGGGTGTCAGGAGGATGGGGCCAAGCTCTTTTCAGTGGTGCCCAGTGACAGGACAAGGGGCAATGGGCACAAACTGAGGCACAGGAAGTTCCGTCTGAACATGAGGAAGAACTTCTTCCCTCTGAGGGTGACGGAGCCCTGGCCCAGGCTGCCCAGGGAGGTTGTGGAGTCTCCTTCTCTGGAGATATTCAAGACCTGCCTGGACAAGGTCCTGTGCAGCCTGCTGTAGGTGACCCTGCTTCGGCAGGAGGGCTGGACTAGATGACCCACAGAGGTCCCTTCCAATCTCTACCATTATGTGATTCTGTGATCTTTCACTCAATAGTGAAGGGTCGATTTTTGACCACAATCAAAACCTCCATGACATGAGCATCCAATACCCTCATTTGTTGATTTTCAAAGAAGAATTACCCATGCTGACTCAGGATTGGCAGGAGTGCTTTACAAACACCTGAGAACGTAATTAAATGTTCTCTTTTAAATCATACCTCAGATATTTTGTGCTGCTTATATTGCTTAAGCATGGTACTCAGTATTATCGTGCTGCCTAGGGCATTTTTGCTGTTTATCATAGAATCACAGAATGGTTTGGGTTGGAAGGGACCTTAAAGACCATCTAGTTGCAACCTCCCTGCCATGGGCAAAGACACCTTCCACTAGATCAGGTTGCTCAAAGCCTCATCCAACCTGGTCTTGAACACTTCCAAGTTTACCTTCTCTTATCTCTGCTGTTTAATTTGTAAAGGCTTTGGGAAAAATACACTTTTTTCTTCTGTGACTACAGCCTTTAACACAAAAGATATCTGATCTGTGACAAGTGTTGTTGTACATTACAGTAACCAAAATAATTAATATTCACTTTTTAAAACAGGTGTCCAGCATAACTACACATTTCCTGGCTGTTTTCCTGCAAATATTTTTGTCAGAAGTCCTTCCTTGCTTCTTTCACAGCAGATGAAGGTAGTTCCTCTGACATATGACCGCAATATACCCAGCTCCTCTATACATGCCTGCCTGCCGTACTGTACCATTTGCTCATTCTCATCTCTACAAAGCTTCTACTCCTCCCCAAGTTCACTGAAGCCCCTCTGTAGTCTTTATCTAGAAGTGACGCATGTCCATGAAAATGCAAACACTACCAGGCTAGCCAGACAACTAACAGGGAACTCCTTCCTTTGCTTTTTCTCACTGGAAGCATTACGAATCAGTCATTCTCCTCTACTACCCATCAATCTTCACAAAACTTAGGTAAGTTTAAAATCTTGAAGCCGTGTCTATACACTACGGTTTGCACCTACTGGTCAATTTTAAAGTTGTCAGGAGAAAAAGGATGCACAACTGAAAGAAAAAAGAAAAAGGTGCAGCAACAACACTAGCACAACTGTGCAGGAAAAATGCTAGCAGAAAATCAGTTTCTTATGCCTTAAAGATCATCACAATGTAAAATCATAGTTCTAACTCTATGATAGCCTAAAGAATACATGCTTATATAGAGCTATACGTGCCAAAAATTGACAAATGACTTACAGAAATCTGTTTTCAAATAAACTGCAGCAGGATTCTATCGATCATTTTTGCTAAGGAGAAATCAGCATCTGTTTTCAAATAAACTGCAGCAGGATTCTATCGATCATTTTTGCTAAGGAGAAATCAGCATCTTTCCTTAATGTCATTGATAATACTATAAACACCTAGGACTGAAAGAAATCACTTACTCATCTCCATCTGGGCAGATTCCTGTAGTCTCATCATATTTTGTACAATAAACATCTGGACTGTAGTTAAAAGTCCCATCACGCCTTCGTATAGGTCTACGACGACGCTGATTTAGGAAATGCCAATGAAAACAGGTAAATGGTCTGTGCTGGGTACACTTGTGCTGCAAAAATAGGGGGCACTGCTCTGTCCTAAATTCCTTTAGATACCTAAAAAAATTAAACTGTGTTACAAGTTTATCTTATTGGAGGCACATTTTTACAGTACTAACAGGGCACTTGACAATTCAGTGCACATAGCTTGTAAAAAATTGTACAAATGTACCCACATACAGTTTTACTTCCTATGCACAATTTACTGTTTAGCTGTTCAATACAAATGACTTCATTTTTTATGACAGATGCATTACTAGTAAAATACGGTGGAATACCTGGCAAATTATACTATGTTTTGTAACTAAACTAAAATCAAATAAATACATTAATTTAAAAAGCACAGTTTTTAGAATACTGTCCTAAGTAACCACCAAACAGAGATTATAAAGTCAACAAGATACTTGAAGGAGCATTCATACAGCTTGCTACCATACAAAATAGTCCTACAAAGACTATTTTAGCTAAATACCACATCTAATTTAAACATTCGCCCTTAATCACAATATACCCAGAATGTGGACATGCTATACAGAAAGATAAAGGGTTATGAGGGTTATGAGGGGCTACGAGAGGACTTCAGCAAATTTATTTTAGCAGCTGTTACATTTGTGCTGAAACAGTCTAGGGTCTTTGAAGGTTACTTAGGTGTTAGTAAGACAGTCCTTCATTAGCATGCAGGTCATAGAAGTTAGTTAGGAAGTCTGATACTTCTTTCCACAGGATATCAAGATCATGCCAGACCGGGCACTACTGTGGCATCTGTCAAAGGACATAAGACAGCACTTCCTCCTGTCTATGTATTAGCCAATTACCAAGTTCATTATGTCGCTAATTAACGTTCCCAGAGGTCTCTAAAAGGGTCCAGGATGTGTAACAGGCTACAAGGAAACTAAAGATACAGGAAAAAGAAAAAATCAGAAAGAGGAATAATGGGCATCTTGGCATATTTTCATTCTCAGTTGCCTAAATTGGTACATGGGGGATGTAATGACAGAGTTATGAAGCATGTCTTTTAAGTTTCCAGAAGAATCTCTAACTACACAGAATTGGGGGGGG